TTTTTTAGATTCCACATATGAGTGATCTCATATGGTATTTTTCTTTCTCTTTCTGGCTTACTTCACTTAGAATGGCATTCTCCAGTAACATCCATGTTGCTGCAAATGGCGTTATGTTGTCAGTTTTTATGGCTGAATAGTATTCCATTGTATAAATATAACATCTTCTTTATCCAGTCATCTGTTGATGGGCATTTAGGCTGTTTCCATGTCTTGGCTATTGTAAACAGTGCTGCTGTGAACACTGGGCTGCAGGTGTCTTTTTGAATAGGCTTTTCCCTTTTAAAAATTATTAGAAACACATTCTTGTACATTCTAACATTCTCTTGCACGTATTCACTTGAACTTCTCTGGGTTTATATCAGAGAGTTGCACAGTTGAGTCATAGGGAACGTGCTTTTCAACTTAACAGACGCTGCACATACCTCTCCAACGTGCAGTAATTTATACTTCCACCATCAATGCAGAGTTCCTTCTCAAACTATTTTTAAGAGGAAAGACATTATTCAACTTTCTCTGCATCCTTATTTAATGTATGCATCCAGAGAAATTACTGAAACGTTGAGATCTGATGTAACTCCTTCTAATTCTGGCACTTATTAATGTATTGGGGGCAGTGTTTTATTTCTGCTCCGGTTTGAATCTGTGTGGAATTAAATATATACGACCAAAGGAACGGGGTTGTGTGCGATCCTTTCAAGTCTGTGCTGGCCACTGAGCCGAGGCAAGGTGCGAAACAGGTCATGGAAACTTTCTGTACTGGTCATGCCTTCTGTGGAATCTGATCTACAGGTTTTTATACCATAAAATATTTATGATGGTGAAGTCTTGCCTAAATGTGCTAATAAAATATGCTCCTCCAACTTGAGGCCACCTTTTGGGTTTTAAATGGAGCTTTCCAGGACTTACAATCTCGGTGTGATTAATTATATTTTTAGCATGTTAATATTTATAGAAGACTATTATAGCATTTTTTCCAGTATGTAAATAACCATTGACCCCACATTCAGTGAATACAGTCAAATACTGTCTTTGACTTTGTAGCAGGTCTCATTTCTTAAAATGCTTTTTGGTCATGACTAAAAGTATAATCAGAAACAATTGCATGACTTAGGGCATGAATTTTTCCACAGCTATTTTCAGTCATTTTCCCAAAGAATTTGTTTAGTTTACTTGCAAATTATGAGATATTTACAGCATCAGTTGATGATCTTAGTATGTGCTGCACGTGGCCTCTTAGGAAGAGACTGAGTTTGAATTTAGAGAATAATTTAAATACTGTAAAAGTCACCCCACCCAAGTAAGCAATAGGCTTTTAAAACCTGGTATTATTTCTTCCCTGAAAGTTTGGTAGGATTATCAGCGATCCCATCTGGGCCTGAAGTTTTCTTTGAAGAAAGATTTTAAACTATTGATTCCATTTCCTTAACTCCTTATATGGATATTCAGGTTGTCTGTTTCTTCTGTGGTTAATTTTGGTGGTTTGTGTCTTGAAAGAATTTTGTCCATTTCCTCTCCGATGTCCGAGTCCCTGTCACAGGGTGGTCAGCAGTATTGCTTTATTAAATTTCTAATGTTTGCAGGGTCTTTAATAATATTCTCTCTTTGATTTCTGATAATAGTTACTTTTCTCTCTTTTGTTAAAAAATCCTAATCAGCCTAGCAAGATTTTTTTAAATCAATTTTATTGTTAAGCTTTCATTGCTTTTTTAAAAATTTGTTCATTTTCTATTTCATTGACTTTTTTATTATTTCTTCCTTCTACTTTGGGTTTACTTTGCTTTTTTTGTCGTAGCCATTAAGTGGAAAGTGTAGAGCATTGATTTTAGCTCATTCTTATTTCCTAATATAAGCATTTAAACCTATAAACCTCACTCTAAATACCCTTAGCTGCATTTCACAGTTTTGGTATGTTGTGTACTCTCATCCAATTCAAAATATTTTCTGATTTCCTGTGCGATTTCTTCATTGACCTGTAGGATACTTCAAAGTGTATCGTTTAATTTCCTTCTCTTTGAGGACTTTTCCAGATACGTTTCTATTATTGATTCCTAACTTAATTCTGATAAGGTCAGAGAGCACACCCGGCAGAGATTTAATTTCTGTGGATAAGATCCATTGATATTTACTATATTAGAAATTAAAATTGAAACATTAAATAACCAGAGCATTTAAAGAACAACCAGAACAACCTGTTATATAGTAACATAAATAACACTTTTCATTTAAAAAACTATGTTTTCTGAAACAAATTTAGTGAGAAGAATGGCATTGTTTTATATTCTTGGTGAAGTTTTAAAATTTCTCCTGGAGCTGGGTTCTCATGTCTGCTTCTGCATTCAGTCTGTTGTGGTATCGCGTACCATGTCAGCTCTGGAAGATGCTGTTGTAAATTTGTGACAAAACAAGAGTGAAAAAGGCAGATTGCGTCTGGGGGTTTACTACAGAAATAATTTTGACCTTGTCACCCCCAGAGAAGGTCTGAGGCAGCCTGTGGTTTCCTGGGTTGCGTTTTGAGAACTGCTGCTCTCAGGTTTACAGCAAGCATTTTTAACTGACTGCACTGTGAGTTTACATAACGTTACTCCATTGGAGTCAGAAGACCTTCACAATAATACTTCTCCGTTTGTGCTCTCCCATCATTTGTGCTATTATAACCACATAATTTACTTGTATTTTTATTATAAACTCCACAATACATTTTTATTATTTTTACCTTAAGCCACCATCTTTTAAAGAAATTGAAGAGTCAGAAAAGAATTTTTTTCTGTCAGCACACATCCTGACCATTTCTGACACTTCATTTCTTTGTGGAGATCCAAGTTTCCATCCGGTATAGTTTCCTTTTGCCTGAAGGATTTCCTTCAACAACTCTTCTAGCTGCTGGTGAAGCAGCTTGGCTTTGGCTCTTATTAAAAAAAAACGAAACAAAACAACTTTTATTTCACTTTTATCTTTGAAGGATATTTTCATTGGAAATAGAATTCTAGGGTTACACTTTCCCCCCAGCCCTTGAAAGATGCTGTTTGATTGTCTTCTGGCTTGGATAGTTTCTGACAAGAATTCTTCATTAATTTTTATCTTTGTCCCTTTCTGCCTAATAAGGTTTTTCTCTGATGTCACGTAATCCCACAGGTTACTGAGGCTCTTTTCATTTTTTTTTCCAGTTAATAAAAAAGTCTGTGCTTTGGTTTGGTTAGATTTGAGCTCACTAATCTTTGCTTCTCCAGCATCTAATCTGCTCTCAATCCACTCTAGTGAAATTGTATGAGTATACATTGTATACGTATATATTGTCTGTTTTACCCCTCAGGTTCCACTTGGCTCTTTTGTAAGTCTCCCGTGTCTCTCTTCATTATGTTCTTGTTTTCCTTTAAATACTTGTGAATCACAGCTCTGCTGTCTGTATGCCTCTTTCTGTTGACTGACTTTTCTCCTAATTATGGGCCACATTTTTCCTTTTTGGCATGTCTGGAATTTTTGATTGGATGCTGGACATTGTGATGTTATATAGTTGAGTGTCTTGATGTTGTCAGGTGATTTAACTACTTGTAGATTAGTCTGAACTCTTTGAAGCCTGTATTCCAGCTTTGTTAGAGTCCTTAGTACCTTCATTCCAGAGACAGGCCAGTTTCACCCTAACGTGTGGCCTCTCTGGGGTCCCCACTGCATGCTCCAGGTGATCACTGACCACTCCCCACTCTGACTGGTCTGGGTTCAAGATGTCTCCCTGCCCTCTGTGACCTCTAGAAAGTGCCATCGTTCTTTACCAAAGTTTGTGGAATGTCCCTTGATGTCTGTGCAACCTGTTACTATCAAAGACTCAAGTGGACCCTTGCGTAGACTTGTGGAGCTCTCTTTCTGCATAATTCACGTTATACCAGAATCTGCTGCACGACTTCCAGCTGTCTCAGCCTTCCCGAGTTCTGACCTCCTCCTCAACCCACATGTGCTGCCAGGCTCTGTTTGGTTTTCTTCTGATTTCTCTATAGTCTGGAAATTGCCTCCAGGTGACCAGAGGAATCACCTTGGTTGTTTCTCTTCCCTTAAGGACCGGAGTCCTGCACTGCGTGAAAAAAGTCATGTCATATGTTTCATCTCGTTCTTTAGACGTAAGAGGCTAAGTCCAGTTTCTATTACTGTATCCTGGTTGGAGGCCAGAAATCTGTTTTGAGTTTTTAAATATTTCTTAGGCCATGACATTCTCAATTTTCTTGACCAGTAATGACCCCCAAAGCAAGACACTGCCATGCTGTTGTCTTTTATTCTGTCCTCTTGAGTGACTTATAAGCTGGCCTACTGGAGCTAGAGCTTCAGTTGTGGCTGTGAAATACTGTCTCTCACGTGAAACTTACTGCCCCCCTCCTGCTTCAGATTCCAGATTCTAAATTATATCCCATCCCAAATTACAAACTATCGCTGGATCCCTTTGTAAATTGTATTGATTTTCTCAATGCGTGCGTCTCCCCTGGCTTGGGAACCTCTGCACTTCACACATCACCCCTTGGAGTCGATGACTCACGGGTCAATATTTGACAAACGTGGGTTGCAATGCCTCAAGATTTCAACATAATAGGTGTTGAGTAAATACATGGGGAAATTCTACACCTGGAATTCCATGCTTGAAGGACCAAGTGTGGCGTTAGCTTTTGGGTCATTGTCAGGAATTAAGACAAGCCAAACAAGGGTGGTCCAACCCCACTTCTTGCTGAAAGAGCACTGACTGGATTATTTCTGGATGTGACCTGGGGAAGGGGTTGAAACTAAAAGTAGCCATAAGGACCCTAAGGTCTCAAGCTACTTAGCATGTCCTTTTTCAAAAAGCAGTGTTTCAGTTTCAAACTGAGGTGAGAAATGGCAGGTGGTTTGTTTTTCACCACTGTACTCTAGCTCGGCCAGGATAAGGTGTCTGGAGGCTGAGGGAGGGGAGAATTAGGGGAAAACGTCAGGGAGCTGGGGTCATGAGGGCTGCCACCGGTGGCAGCGGGCAGCTGTTTCATGACATGTGGTCCGAGTGGGTTTTGGCCACAGTTCTACAAATAAAGTATTTTGTAACCTCGAGACAGCTATTTCAAGAATTATTGAATGTGTTTTTGTTTGTTTGTTTGTTTCTTCTGAGCAGCCTACAGAACTGGATTTGATACTGTTTTTCCTTTTCAGTCAATGGATACGTAGACATTAACCGCAAACAGAATGATGATGTTTAGATGCTGAAAAGTATGTCACAGTCTATGGCATCCTTGGCTTTCTGGACTAACAATGACCCAAAATTCCCAAGACTAGAATACATTTCAGCTAGTAAAAAGGACCAAGTGGTTCTACATGTTTTAACCCAGGGAGAGGTTTTATATATATGTATGTGGTGTGTGTGTATATATATATATATATATGTTTTTTTTTCAAAAATGCATGTTCGGGTATGATACATAGAATGATTCAGATAATTCAATTTCTGAATTAAAAAGCTATGTGCATATGTATAGAGGTAGATGTATATAGATTTAAAAATGATATATGTTGTTATAGGAAAAGGCAAAAATGTGGAATGATACAATGATTAATGAACGATTAACACTGCCAAGTTCTGAGGCGTTTACCTGGGTGGGGGAAGAATGGCTATTTATCTTTTACTTTATATGCTCCCCCATGCTAGCAATTTTAAAAGCTAACATTTATTGAGCGGTTACTGTGGGCCCAGAACTGTGCTCAACATTCCGAATACTGAGCATCGTCTTACTCCATCCTCGCAGCCCTGTGGCTGCCGTAACCTGCCCGTCAATATTAAAGTTGCTTAGAGGCGCCGAACTGCCAGGAAAAGGGGATCTAGGTACTTTCCAGGTACTTCCTTGAGCTGTGTATACATACCAGCCACACCAGTGTGACCCGGGTTGTCGGTTTATTTAGGAAGACTTGGTGGTAGGGGGAGGTGCTACGCAGCAACCCCTTGCTGCTGATACTGCTTATAACAATCCAAAGTAGTGACTACTGCTGTTGTTCCCAAGTTAGAGATGAGGCACAGAGAGGTTAAGTAATTTGCACAATGTCTCCCAGCTAGGAAGTAGCAGAGCCAAGATCTGAATCCCACACTGTTAAAAAAGCAGAGTTCAGACTCTCAATATGAATTTGTTACAAGACAGTGTTACTTCATATAATTTAAAAATATTTCAAAAATTCAGATGGCCAAGCTAAAAAATGTGATTTTAATATAGTCTAGAGACAAAGAAATGAAAAAAAAAATTGGAATGTGTTATCACGAGTAAATGTGGGTATCAAACTAGAACAAGTATCTACCATGTGAGAGACCACTGCTATGAATGTTAAGTCAAGTGTGATGACTTGTAAGTTTTCACCAATGTTTAACTTCTGTGACTATTCCCCCCCCGCCCCCACCCCTTTAAACAGGAGAGATTTACAGATAGCATTCGAGCATCATGGAGCCTCTAGGTTCTACTCTGACGGCGACTTATGCCCACCCCAGGCCAACACCAGCCAGCTTTCTCCCAGCCGTCAGCACCAGGGCATCGAGCTACAGGGACCGCTTCCCCCACTACAATCTGACCCACAGCCCGAGCCTTCCTTGGAGGCCGAGCACGTACTACAGAGCAGCCGCCAACTCGCCGGCCTTGGAGCCGTACTGCGCCAGGTCCCAGAGGGCGTCCCAGAGCGCCATGCTTCCGTTTGTCTCCAACAGAACCACTCTGCTCACCAGGTACACGCCAGATGACTGGTACAGGTCCAACGTAACCAACTGCCTGGAGTCCAGCACTTCCCGCCACAATTCAGAGAGGCTGCGGGTGGACACGTCTCGCCTGATTCAAGACAAGTATCAACAGACAAGAAAGACCCAGGCCGACTCCACCCAGAATCTGGGCGAACGAGTCAATGACATAGGGTTTTGGAAATCTGAAATCACGCATGAGCTGGATGCAATGATTGGAGAGACAAATGAACTAACAGATGTTAAGAAAAAACTGGAGAGGGCTCTGATGGAGACAGAAGCCCCTCTTCAGGTAAATATAAGACCTTACTGGAAGGACACAGCATGCTAATGATTATAGCCCAGTGGTTGAATTTCTGAGGTTACTTACCTGTTGAATTATATTTCACTTCCCCTGTGGAGGCCAAGCCCTTATCAATCACTCTGATAGAAGGAATTCTGAATGCAGGGCCATGGAGGCTGATTAAAGCGACACTCTTAGGACATGGCAGTGTTTCATGGTGGAAAAGCCATCTTTCCACATCTGAAATAGGCTGCTTGGTCAGTGCTGTCCCCGGATTAACATAAACGTTATTTGGGAGGGAAAAAAATAACCTGTTCGTTCAGGCTGTGTCATGAAATGCCTTCCGTGCATACGTTATGATTCAACTTAAGGGCACAGTGAGATGATCAACTCAACCTTCTTAGGAGATGGAGTGAGTTTGATTAAATAGAAAAATGGGACTGAGGTTGAGCCAGCTGTGGTCAGGGAGGCAGCCTTTTAGTTGGTTGCTGGCCTCTGACCTGGCTTCTTCTTTTTAATTTTTTAAATTTTTATTGAAGTATATTCAGTTTACAGTTGACCTGGCTTCTGAGTGGGGTCCAATTACCTCTAACCCTCTAAGTATGTGATGGGCCCCCAAACCCATTCTATGACTGTTGAAAGAAGACATTCTGTCCTTGAGGATGTGCAAAGGACAGACGTTATTTTAGAAGTTGTATACATGTGGCTGGGCCAAGCTGACACCGTTTTCTCCATGTGTGTGAGACTCATTTTCCAGGCGACAAGCGTTTTCAGCAGGTCTTAGCTGTGGCATCTGTAGCAGATGAGTTTAGAGAACCAAGTAGCTGGACGTCTGGTGGGCAGAGGGCTATCAGAGACCCCTGCACACTGCTGCTTCAGAAGAGGGATTGCAGATGGTCAACCGTATATAAGAAAAAAATTAAAACTCAATAATAAAGATGCAAACTAAGTCAATGAAGTTAGTGTCTTTGGCTTATCAAGTTTGCAAAAATGAAAACTGATTATGTGATGGGTTGGCCAAAGAGCAGAAGATGGATACTTCACATATTGCCAGCAGACTACAGATGAGTAGAAACTTCTGGAAAGCAATTTTGTAATACACATGAAAAGAATCAGAGTTCCCTTCAATCCATTAATTCATCTTCTAGTGAATGTGAATTGTACCATTAAAAAAGTTAGAGTTGCACTCAAAGATTCTGTCCAGTGACATTGTACCCAGATTATGGTGTACATATGCTTGTCTTTAATGCTTTTAAAAAATTTAACATTGTACGGTCATCCCAGGTCATGAAACACTCTTTGAAAGAAGTATTTTAGCTTTTAC